TAAGTTGAAGCTTGTGATGTCTCCAAATGATTTGCCATTGGACTGTCATTTCAGACTCTCGAGTTGCATTCCTGTTCCTGAACATTGTCTCTTTTCTCTTTTCTCTTTTTTTCTGTGTTTGTGTTTGTGGGTGGTTAGTGGGTACTTTGGTGTGATTTGCTCCTTCTTTCTAATAAACATCTATCGTCCTCATCTTTCCTCTTTCTTTTTGTGTTTGTTACTCACTTGTAACACATCTGTTCTTCGGCACTTATATGACTTTATTGTGCTGCAAGTTCTGTATAAGTCTTACTATAACTAAACTTTTTTGGCGTTTTTCTCTTCTCTTGGTACTTGCTTAACTGTATGTTCTGAGAAAAGTGTAGTACAAGGGGACAGGTTTGCACAGATGTTCACACTAATTCTGACTCTCATAGTTACTGTCAGTTGATGCTCTTTGTTTTTAATTCTCGTCACACAAATTATCAACAAAATCTTCCTTATCTTGTCTCTTATGTCATCTTTTAGCAGTACATTATATATATATTTTTTTCATCTCTTGTCAACACGTCTTTCGTTCCTCCTTTTCAGTCCTTTCTTCCTTTTTCCTTGAAGGTTCTGATTATCCAGAATCTGATGCACCCTTCCCTTCTTGAACTTGCCCCCCCCTCCCCACCAGGACAGTACTACTGACTGATTACTACTGTCTTTAGGCCATTCCCAAAGGTGAGACATTAAGTTAACATGTTCTTATACACAATAGAATTGTAAATGGGCTAATTCATCAATGTCATGCTCATAACTGTGCCTGAACTGCATACGGGGAACTGCTGCTTTTTCTTTCCTAATCCTTACTATCGTCATTTCTCCTCTACTTCTTTTGTATGTTTGTCACTCTCATGTTACCCACTATTTCCGGGGTGCCTTGATAGTTGAAGCAGACTTTGTGCTGTTGAAGATAGAGAGGTGAGCAGAGTAAGTAAGTTTTTTTTTTTTTACTGACTTCTTTGCTGACGTTTTCCTGAATTCCTTTCTTCCTATTGTGCTGTGCGACATTATCCAAATGTCAATTGACATAATATGATGCCTTCAACAGAAATACCATTTAATGAGACTTGTACGGAGAATGCTGTATGCACTGAGAACTTTCATTGTGATGACCTCACTAGCAAGTGTTTATGCAATTCTTCACTGTACTATAATGACAGTCTGTGTGTGGAAAGTAAGTGTCATCTGTCTCCTTTCCGAGCCCCAGAGGACAATTTCTTGCCTGGGGTCTTTGCTTGTTCCCCGATTACATTGTTACAGCTTCCACTTGCTTCACCCGCGACCTAAATTGTGTCAATGGTGGTGTAAACACAGCAACATTAAATTTTTTTAATCACCCGCAACTTCCACATCTTTCCCATCCCTCTTCAAAACATGAATATGTTTATATTTTACTAAAGAAGTGGACGGAGCAGAGGAATGAGACATTAATTTAGTGTTTTCTAAAACAGAAGAATGCAAGACGCGATGAAATTGTATAAATATGTGCGTGCCTGTGTGTCTGTTTGTGTGTGTGTGGTGTGTGCGTGTGTGTGTGTGTGTGTGTGTGTGTGTGTGTGTGTGTGTGTGTGTGTGTGTGTGTGTGTGTGTGTTAATGTATGTGTGTGTGTACCTGTGTGTGTGTGTGTGTGTGTGTGTGTGTGTGTGTATGTGTGTGTGTATGCGTGCAGGCTATTGTAACTATGTTTAGCCGAGTCTATCTGTACTGTTTCTGTTATTACCCGGTACTGTCTTTTTGCCTTTCCCCAAGACTAAAATTTAATGATAGGTGTTGCATTGATGTGCTTCTCCTTGCTCAAACAGATGAGCCATTTTGCGTTCAAAATAGAAGGGAAGGGGATAATATATGGCAAATATCTTAATATCCCTCTGGAAAATAAATTATTACCTTATCTTATATTATTTTTAGGCCACCTTCAAACTTTCAGCAGAATTATCTACATAAAGATTTATTCACTTTTGATCTCAATGCTCCGTCCAATGACCGTAATAATGATATATTTTTTCCTTTGAACATTACGCTACCTCAAAATTACAAATTTCCATCTGACATTTTTGGCTGTTTTGAAACCAAATGTTCTGTCCGCTCTTTCAGAATAACAACATGATTCGGAGACATCATCAAGATATTGGAAGAATTGCATTTGAAAAAGCTTGACATGTTGTGAAACTCAATATCTTTAAAGTCATATTTCTCAAAACTAGGCACTGAGCAGATAGAACTTTGTAATTCTGGGCTAGCGATTATGAGAAGCACATTTGTATCTGTCCCTTCCATCTTTTACCAGCTAATGTGCACTTTCCCCCCTCAATTCTTCAGTGTCCAATTACAGTAACTGATGTTTCTTTGAACACATTGAGAAGCTAATCTATGTATCTATCTATCCCTTACATCTTTTAACTTTTTTATTTCTGTGAGTTTCATTGCTTTATTTTTTTGTGACACCTGATTATAGATCTAGCTTTTGTTGTAATGTTTAGAAAATGATGTGAACTATTTTTGTCTATATTGTTTACTATAGATAGTGCAGTTCACCTTGCGTCTATCGAAGTCTTTGGCTGCTGCTTTCATTTTGTTTAGTCTGAAGTTTTAGTGTAAGCAAAGTGAAACAGTCGTGATCATTTTGGATCATGTAGATATATGAGGGTTGTCAGAAAAGTGTGGTGAGAATGGTCACAGGATAATTTATTTTATATGGAGCTGAATAAATCATAACATTAAGTAGTTACGCCATTCAAAATTAGTGGATTTTTTCACTTTACATCTACAGATTGTATAGCTTAATTAATTGTTTCTACCTTTGACTTCGTCTGTATGAGGGTATCTTTGTTTGGTGGGACGTCACAGATACATGTTCTGTCATGTGACTGTTACTTTGGCAACAAGTAGTGTGTATTTATGCTTTGCCCTCTACTTTGTGTCTATAGATTGGTGAGAGAGCTATTACTTTTTCTGTTAGGATAGCCTTTGCGTTACTTTTTGGAGTGAGACCAACAACTTGACAGGACTTTGAAAGAAAAATTTACCAAGTTTTTATTATACTAATAATTTGTTAGTTTTCAGTTTAATAATTATTCTGTTTTTCTTTCAGCTGTAATGATATATATGTCTTAGTTAGAGTTAATTTCCCTCTGCCTTGCACTTTGTAGAAAACATGTTTTGATAAATTTTCATCATCATTCATCTTTTTTGTTTTGTTCTGACTATAGGTAGGTACAATATAGGCCAACCGCGTTATTTGTCAGCTGCCCATTTTAAATCACAAGTTTATGTGGGAAAGATAGTCTCATGTTTGTTGTATTATGTCCCAATTTTTAGATTACTAGTGTATGTGTGATAGATAATGAACAGTCTCATGTTTGTTGTGTGATGTCCCATTTATTTAGATTACACAAGAGTATGTGTGATAGATAATGAACTGTCTAGTGTGTTTCCTCCAAAATAGAAGTATTCACAAAATAAGATTCACACCTTTAACTCTTTTTATATCATGCTAGACTATAATGTGGATGTCTTTGTGGTGTTTTCTAGGCTTTGGGATGGTTTTTTTTAGAGTTTCTTGGGTGTGTTAACACTTTGACATGTTTCTATAACTGGTGAACTTCAGATCAGAGCTCCGGCCTCTGAAATAAAATTCTTACTTTTATGGGGCGTTTAACCGGTACTATATCAGAAAAATTAGATGTGATGAAACCATTTAGAAAACTTCCAAGTACATTTATCATGTGTATTCAAATGTCATAGAGACTATTTGTCTGTAACCATCAGGGGCGGTTGGTCAGATTTTTTTCAGCCTGACTGTTGACAGGAGATTTATTGCTGATCAGTGGCGGTGGGTGAACCTAGATTTGGGTGGGGCTTAGGTTTCTTCCACTTCTTTACCACCAAAGAACAAGCAATAAGAACAACACAGTGGTGATTTTTTTATACTCACGGCGAGCCACGGTATTTTGAAAACCATTCAAACGAGAAGAGTCACCTTTGTCTGCCATCTCTTTGTTCTACGTTTAATTCTTCTGGATGGTGTGGACGAAGCCGTTTCACCTCCAAATTTCTCTAATTAGTTTTTATTTGATTATTGTTAAATCTCAGCGGCACAAAC